AGACTCTTCAGTATAATGTGAATAAATGTCTTTTGACTGTTGTATGCTCTTGTAGCAAAATATGAAATCGAAATGAGCAGAACATCTTTCACTTGAAGTATAGGAACTTATCGTTAATGATACAAGCAACGACAACGGAACTCGGAAGAAATATTTGTAATGACTGTCTCAAGTTATCTGCGTGACTTCTGTACGTGGCGTTTGTGCACATTTATAATCTAATTTGTATACAATAATTCTAATCAGATTCAATTTCTATGTTGTAACAGATTACAGATAATCATATATATATGTATAATTTTAACAAATCACATTACTGCGTGAAAATAGTTTTAAACACTCTTAAAGAGATTGCACGATATTTTTGGTCAAAATGAAGAATGATGGTGGGGAAAACGGATTATCATTTTGAGTGCAAAGTTTCCTCCTCATCGTCGCTATAGTCATCGCTTAAATAATAATTACTTTGCGAACATTCGAAACGGCCAGTCTTTTTCGGTGGTGGACTGTAACATAAAGCACTTTATATTAATTATGTCGATACGACTTAATGCACAGCACACAATTACTATACTTCACATTTATTATCTATGTAAAGAACATTTTCAATTACCATATGATAACTTACATGCATGAAGACTACAAAGAAAAATGTGACACGTCATTTTCAATCATTTAAAATAATTTACGTCATATGTACATTTATGAAAACAAGTACGTAGTACGTGTATACAGTTACACGAATAAAACAAGTAGAATTATCATGCTTATCTTCGTAGTCTTCACGTACATAAAAGCAAGAAAACGAAATATACCTTTTACAAGCATTAGTCACATCGTGTATTATTGCTTAAAATTTATCTAATGTAGTTAACAGTGGAATTGTATACTAACATAACATGCTGCAAATGGGTGGAGTGAAGTATTGAAGGTTTTCATATAGAAGCAGTACAGAATGAAGTGGTGTTGCATGTTAGTCAATTGACTCGAATGCTGTGATGTACCTTGTCTGATCTTCATCGTTATTGCTGGTATTACTGCCATTTGGACTGCCATCTCTTTTTGGGCTTGCAGGAGGAGATAGCGCTTGCATCAAACGACCTTTACTTTCATTCCAAATTGTTGACTGTGGATACAGAAGCCATAGTTTATTCAAATTCAAAGGTTGTATACATATGATTAGTTATATATGCCCACGATACAAATCGATCTATACATAAAAAGAATTTACTATGAAAGTAGAGGACTTATTGAATTTTTTAATGACCGTGAAAGTATAGCGATTCAGGTTAAAAAGGAGCAGTTACATATTGATTAATAAAAATGTTATTTATTCTTTTTTAATGCATAGTTCGCAATGCGGTATTAGTATCAAGTACAAAATGAACATGAGAATAATTACTCCATAAATACTACCCACCAATCTGCCTTCCCTGCCAAATAATAGTAGAAAAGCATCGATGAAATCTCGAGATTTCTCTTCCCACTTGCTAATCATATCCATTCGTTTCTCACCTATATTCTCCATCACTCGTTTACCCTTATCTTTTAAATCATCAAACTTATTTTGTAAACGGAACTTCTTTTCCTACGGTTACATAGTACATAATAATATGCTTGTGTATGTGAGACATATTTATTTCATATAGAGAACAATGCGAACTTACGCTAAGAAAAGAAACGTTAAGTTCTTTGGCACTGTAGCCTCGCGCAAGATTTCTCCTTACGTAAATATCGTAATCTTTAACTATTCTCGCTACGATATCCGATGTTGACACTCCTTCAGTTCTCTGCGTAGCAACGAACATACCCTTAGCTTTCAAGGCTGCATAAACATCTGTACTATCATCTGTCATATAAGGTATATCATCATGAGCAACAAAGTCGATCTGAAGAATTAAATATTATATATACTACTAATATTATTTTGTAAATACGTTCTTACGAATAATATTATAAAGCTCGTCTTACTTTATGTTTTGTAAGAAATTCATCACTCAGTTCCCAAGGTGCATCTCTGACGACCTCATCTACATAACGACAATGCCTTACTGCGTCGTATCTCTCAACATCTGTCATCACTGTTCTTCCCTTTTTACTATGTGTTAATTCATCATTACAAACTGCAATAGGAAACGAAACTCCTTAGAACTCTGTACATAATATATACCACAGAAATGAAATTTGTATTTCTGTTTTTTTACCTCCTACAATGAGGTATACATGTGGGAAAATATTTTTGGCTTGTAGAAGTTGTCGTGCATGTCCTTGGTGAAATAGATCATAAATACCATCTGCGTATACTCTAATTTTCCTGGGAGCTGTGTTTTACAGAAATTATTAAAATTGCACAGTTAAGTAATTTGTAATCATTATGGAAAAATAGATGATTCTTGTTATCTAACCTTTGTCACTCTTTGCCATTTTTAATGTAATGCGAATATTATAATCACATGCATTTCTTTCTGCAATTGCTTCAGGCTCATCGCTAAAGGGAGCTTCCTTACAAATTGACTGCAATGAATACAATGAGTAATATCTTCCAAGTAAATGTGAAATAAAAAGATCTTATATATAACTAAGATAAGTTACTGCAAACAAATGAAAAAGAACAAACGTAAGCTTTAATGGAAAGGCGAGAATTGAAATTCTTTTGCATGATAAAAAATATTTAAAAATAAATTAAACTCACTGGAAGTTCTTTGTGATAAACAGAAATTTTGCTATTACACATTTTTAGTGAAATTTGACCTGATTCACTGTTTGAATTCCTGTTGGTTCCCCAAGTCATTGTCAGGAGCTGTTAACGTTATCAAACATTTTTATAAAAAAAAAGAACAATCTTTTTAAGAATTCGGTTGACATATTATGCTTCTATTAGCTTTAATAAAAATTTATTACTTGCATAATAATACGTTTGGCTACAATGTAATACTCCAGAAAATGATCACTGAACTTAACATTAAAACATGTTTATTGAAATTTTCGCTATAACGTTATAAATTAATGTTCCAAGATTGTTTTAATGAATCCATGTTCACGCATGAACGTGAACTGCTTGTCGTCTGTTTGAAGTATGGAATACTTTGTACATTATATCAGTAGACATACTGGTGATCTTGCGTCACACTGCTATCATAAAAAACTTTAAGCCTTTACGTATGAATGCGAAATTAAAGGCATGATATCTCTGAGTGATTAATGTCAATGGTATAATGTGGTTCCTATATGAACTTGAATATACCAAATAGATAAATGTTAAATATGGATCATCATACACGTGTATGACGATACAATTTATAATTAAGGAACTACAAATAAATGAATAAATTAGTGTATGATGAAAAAACGAATGGAGCAATAGTACTTACTGGATAGACAGGTGAATCTTCTTTAGAGCAAGATGCACTTTCCCCATTTTGGAGATTTGTATAAGGTGTGGAATCCAACATAGTAGTTTCTTCTCTTGCCCGCTTTCTAGACATTTTTTATTCCTTCAATGATAAATCCATAAAAGTTCTATAAATGAAAATGTGCAATAATTATACATCTTATATCAGAAATAATTATCAGAAATAAGTATAATTTATGTATTACTAATCTAAATGACAAAATATAGGCAACAATGAAATGAAT